TTCAATATCATAAACTGTGTTAAAGGAATGCAATTGACTAATAGCATAATTGTACCAAACTACTTTGTGGCTAGAGATGACTTAACCAACTTTTATTATTATTATTATTATATTAGCTTTCATGTAAACACCACAATTAGAGAAGAAAAAAATTTTAGGAAGGAAAGACTCAAATGAGAGTGGGCTTACAAAGGGGAAAGAAAGAAGGAAGAAGCATCTGTATGTTTATCATATTTTTACTGACATTCTTCTGTAAGCATATTTTTATATGTTTCGATTCTGAAAGAAATACTTCAAATGTAACTTTAATCATCCTGCTCATGCTCCTTACACCTACAGAAAAGACCCACAAATACATCCTTTGGGAAAAATAAAAGTGAGGCATTTAGAAATGGCTGGAGGGGAAAAAAAGGTAAAAAATATATATGAAACAAAATAATGTGGTATGGTTAAAGTAACTAATCCATAGCCAGTCATCTTATTTATAATGATAAGCTTTCTTTATATTTTATAGTAATTTCACATTCAAAAGCTACTATTTTTATAACCTATCACAATCAATATATTTTAGGTGTATGTCAGAAGCCTTAGGGAACTATTGCTGTTTTATAAATCTGTTAAGTGAAGGTCGCAGAGGGAAAGTATATTGCCCCAGTTTGCATACATACGTGTTTGAGAAAGTAATACCTTATTCCTTAGATAAATTGGAGTGGATTTTAGGTAAAGTAGAAATGAGAGCATGTTGTTACTGTATATATTTTTAAATTCCTTGTTTTGCTTGATAATTGCTTGTGAATCATGGGATAAATCATACTTCATGTAGGTAGTTTGTACACACACAAAGCAAGAATATCTATTTCCAAAGCAAAAAGCATTTTGAATATTAAAAGGTAAAAAGGGAACTAAAAATAAGTACAGAAAAAGCAGTATTAAAATTAATCAATTGGCTAAAATAGTAGAGTATACTTTAATCATAACTACCAGCTGGTGTAAGACACTGGTCTTACCTGGGCAATTGCACTGGCCTAATAACTGTCCTCAGTGACCTTAACCGATAGTTTTTTGACCTGTCTCTCCCCTGTTAAAATTTTCTATTGCCTTTTCTTCTTTCTTTCTTTCTTTCTTTCTTTCCTTCCTTCCTTCCTTCCTTCCTTTCTCTCCTCCTCCTCCTCCTCCTCCTCCTCTTCCTCCTCCTCCTCCTTCTTCTTCTTCTTCTTTTTTTTTTTTTTTTGGTATTTGGTCTAGAATACAAAGCCCTTATCTTTTACCTTGACTGGTACTGTCATATGTAATCAGATCCCTACCCATATTTCAACCCCATCTCATACCTCAGCCATCTAACTTTCCACCATGCAATTCTCCAGTTCCCTTGGTCTTTTGGCTCCTCCAGCAAGTCAAACTATCCCTGTGTTAGGGCCTTTGCATTAACTATTTCCCCTGTCTAAAATACTTTCCTCCTGATCTACAAATTGTGGTTCATTTCTATCATTCAAATCTCAAACAAAATCATACCAACCATGAATGTCTTCCCTGGATCCCAAAGCCTGAAGCAGCCCTTAATCCAGTCTCTATCATGATATTTTAAAAATCTCTTCTGAGAGCCGGGCTTGGTGGCTCAGCCTGTAATCCCGCGCCTTTGGGAGGCTGAGGTGAGTGGATTGCCTGAGCCCGCGGGTTCGAGACCGGCCTGGGCAGCGAGACCTCATCTCTACAATACATCAAAAAATCAGCTGGGCGTGGTAGCGCGTGCCTGTAATTCCGGCTACTCAGAAGGCTGAGGTAGAAGGATCGCAGGAGCCCAGCAGGCGAGGCTGCGGTGGCCGGAAGCGGCCACTGCACTCCAGTCTGGGCGACAGAGTGAGACTCCAACTCAAAAAAAAAAAATCTCTTCTGAAAACATGTTCCCATATGATTTGTTTATGTTTTTTAAATTGGTTATTAACCTCTCAAGAATATAAACTTAGTTAGATCTGAGATCATAACATTTATGATCATTACTGTGTCCCCAGGGCTTTGAACTATATCAGAAAACCTGAGACATTCCATTAATATTTGTTCATATTTGTAAATAAATAAAGATCAATCACAATGAACATATATCAAATATAATTAGATTGTTGCTAGTAAATATGTTAGCAGATGATACAATTGCTAAGTGTAAATGTTCAACGATTTTAGTTATAAGCTGATATTCATTTCCAATAAATGTTGACTTTTGTTATATCAACTTAAGAACTCTAGCATGACTTTGGGTGTACCTAGTAAGCATAAATAAATGTTAATTATTATTTTTCTCATCACTAAACCTAGGCTGGGGTGATGCTTCAGACTGGGTCTAGCCACACCGTGTCTTTGAAAGCGAGAAGTAAGAAGTATATGGACTAATCCATTTTTGTTTACCAGTTTTGTTACCCAAAGGTAATCATATGTTTGGAAAAAATAGGTACTGTTCTAAATTAAAGTTAACGATCAATACGATCATGAAAATGGAAACTGAACATATTATAATTTATTTAAAGTGTTCAACTCAGAATTATTGTTTTTTTAACTAATAGCATCTTGTAATAATCAACTTTTTGCTTCCTCCCATAAACTTTGTCAAACATCAGGTCCAGCAAAGCTTGCATAAAGGCTTATCTCACTTAAAATTTAATGGGTTTTATGCATGAACACACACAAAGTCATTCTAAGTAGCATGGAAGACTCACTTTTATTTATAAACTCTCATCATATTTCTGATTTTCTTTGCTTAATAATACTTTGTGTATTTATTTTTCAAAAAATTATCCAGCAAAGACTTTGTGCTACAAGTGGTTTCATATGTGTCTCATTTAAAAACATTCTATAAGGTGTTTTAGAAAAATCTATGACAGTTAAAAGGCTGCCCTTGCTTACTTCATAATCATTCTAAAAGCTTTAGCACAAACCAAAGTCCTCGAATCATCCCTAAGGACAAACTATTTTTATGTCAATCTTAGCTAAGCAGGAATATTGCTATATTAGCATTCCAATCAATCCTTCAGTGGAATGAGAGTGAGGAAATAAACACCTTTTTGTATGTCTGTGTGTATTTATTGTCATCTGTCATTTGATGGTAGATATCCCTTCAACAAGGGAATTTCTTGAATGAACATTTTTTACAATATTGGAATAACAGACAAAATACATTTTTTTGGTGTTTCAAGTGAGGCATGAAATACCTGAATTTTTAATTTCAAGTGGAATTCAGATTTTTTAGCTATTCAATTTCAAATTGCAATTAGTTAATTGATTAGCATGAATAATTAATGCCATATTAAGTCCTATTGAAAAAAAAAGTGCAAAAACAATGAGGACATTTATCCTCCAGAAGAGGATGGAAACATAGACTGCACAAAGGAAAAGACAGGGGTGCTATTATGGAAAAAAAAAAACAGTAAAAAAGGAGTCTAGATTTTCAAAATTTTCTAATTTTACTTGAGATTGCTTTTGCTAAGTTGTACAGATGACTGGAAATAGAAATTCTAACCTGAAGAGTTTTGATCTATAACTACAAGTAGGCAGCTTATATCTTATTATTGATAATGATAAAAATGAAATAAATTAGTTGATCTGTGAGCACTGTCAATGGGGGTTGACAAGGCAAACTCAATAGTTATAGCATAATTATTGTGACTCTCACTTCTAGGGTTAGTTACAATCATCACAATGATCACAGAAGGAAAATAATGTCAACATAGATAGACTAGTATATTCTTGCTTAGAAGGCATATATAGTTGTAAAAAGTCTATCTTGTTTTTTTCTTTCAAAAGACATGAGCTTAGCCGGGCTCAGTGGCTCAGCCTGTAATCCCGCGCTTTGGGAGACTGAGGTGAGTGGATTGCCTGAGCCTGTGAGTTCGAGACCCGCCTGGGCAACTTGGCGAGACCTCATCTCTACAGTAAATCAAAAATCAGCCGGGCATGGTAGTGCATGCCTGTAATTCCAGCTACTAGGAAGGCTGAGGCGGAAGGATCGCCGGAGCCCAGCAGGTGGAGGCTGCGGTGGCCGGGAGCGGCCACTGCACTCCAGTCTGGGTGACGGAGTGAGACTCCAACTAAAAAAAAAAAAAAAAAAAGACATGAGCTTAAAAATGCGCCCCCCACCCCACTGTCACACTATAATTTAGTACTGGGATAGCAATCCTCCCATCATATCTATTGAGTTTTTTTGGTCCTATTTTAAAGCTTTTAATCATCATAAATAATAGCTAAGTAAATGCAAGGCACTTGGACAATCTTTAGCTTAATGTGTTCAAATCCACAGTTGGCACTTCATTTCCTTTCATTTAAAATTAAATCTACCTTGTCTTGATAGGCTCTACACAAATACACACACCTAGAAACATAAATCACAGCAACACATCCAGAATGATGAGAACTGCTTGCTACCTTTATAAGAAATAAACCATTTTCAGAAATGTCTCAGAAATTTTTTTTATTGAGTCAATATATATTCTTAAAATAATTCACAGTCATACTCTACTTGAATAAAAATTTCCCAAGACAGTTTTATAACTTTTTTTTGAGAGGATTTCCATAAACAGATGAATAACTCTTGAATGTTGTTATGGGTTTTTTCTTCAGAAGAGAAGTTTCCTGTCAAGTGTAGCTAATAGGTGATTTTATGTACATGGTTTCCTGTACATGATTCCATGTCTTTTACATATGTATTATAGTTTTTGGAGAAAACCTAGAAAATATGAACTATGACATAATGTTGGCAACTCTTTAAGCATAGCTTTGTAGATAACAACCCATCTATCTAACATCTCCACTTCAGTTAGAAAAGTAAAAAGCAAAATACTACTGACATGAAAATTCAACTATAATGCCCCCTGAAGAAAATTGAACTATAATGTCCCTGAAGAAAAGCTGCATGCCTTAGGAAAAAACCAGAAATAATGACTAAACCATCAAAGTGCATCAAAATAATAGTAAGCTTTCAAAATTTGCTATTTTTCTTAATTAAAAATACTTACTTGCTTTGTTTTTCCATGCTGGCTACCCTGAGGTGTTCCCATCTTGAATTTAGGAGATTCATTTGTTCTTGCACTTCAGTGGCTTCATCTTCTGGCAATTTCCCTGTTCCAATCAGTTGGCTTCCCAATTGTAGAACATTACCAACCCGTCCCTGGTGAGCTGTCAAATCCATCATGTACCCCTGACAAATAAATAAGTTAATAATTGTAATTAGGACTTTAGGTAAATTATTGTTGTTTTTATTTTTATCTCTTGCAATTTTAAACTTGTAGCCCATTTAGATTTATATTCCCTGTAAAAACAATTTTTGAATTTTGATTTAAGGAAAGTGAATACCATTTTTAATATGAATTAAGGAAAATTATTTGGGTGACACTCTGCAGAAACAGATCTTGAGATAAGGCTTTCAGTGCAAGTGATTTCTTATGGAAGAGCTCCCAGAAAGGGAGCTGAAGAAACAAAATCAGGAAAGGGAAGGGAAGGAAGTCAAGCAAGTGTATCATCTCGAGGAACAGACTCTAACTGAGGGTGGTTAAGCCCAATGCTATACAGGTACTCAAGAATGTAAGTTATGCCTCAGTCTTGCCTTGGCATGAGAGAAGGGAGCTGGGCTATCATATTCCTGTACGAATCATTGGCAAACCAGATATAAACACCTTCAGTGGTTATTCTACAAAAGATAACTTCAAAATCTAGCAGTTGAAATGCCAAGCACATGAAAGTATTTCTATCTCAAAATAAAAACTAAATTCCTTAAATATAATGATCTAACTGAGTAGATAAGAAAAAAGGCATGTCATTATGACAAGTCATGGGCTTAGTTTCGTAAATCAATGTTTGGGTTTACCTCATGGGTGTGGAATTGTTCTTTCACTTCTTCTACATCATTTGAGATCTCTCCTTGTGCTTGCAATGTGTCCTCAGCAGAAAGAAGCCATGAAAGTACTTCTTCTAAAGCTGTTTGGTAACTGTCCAGGTTTACTTCAGTCTCCATCAATGAACTGCCAAATGACTTGTCTTCAGGAGCTTCCAAATGCTGAACAATAAAATAAATTGGATGTTATACAATTAATGTCTTTGCAGTCTGTTCTAGTACATTAAATGATAAATAGAATGAAATATTTAAAATTCTAGAAATGTTCACTTGCATTATCAGAGACATGAACAGCAGACACATACAATAGTGAGCCTGCATTTTAACATCCTCACAAATATATACACAAATTTTCAAATAGCATTTGAAATCCACACCAAGTTAATATTTTACTAAAGCCTTTCGGAGTTGTTATAAAAAGTTAATTAGTATATCAGCTCTTCATATTGCATTTTAAATGCTATAAATTTTCATCCATAGGTAATTTTTTCATTTTTTATTTACAATACTTTCCATATACATTATTAGATTTAAATTTATATACTTTTGCAATAGCATTAAATGAAATGTCTCTTCCTGAGAGGTCCCAGGTAATAATACATTTTCAAAGGTTTACAGATCAGTAAAGATAACAGCAAGAAAATAATGCAGAGCATCAAGTTAAAATTTCAAAAGAAAAGAAATACTTTGTTCACACATTTAAAGTTTCTGACAGCATAATGACTTCTATGAATTAGTCTTTATTTACAGAAAGCTATTGTTTAAATTATAAGAAACTTCTATGAATTAGCCTTTATATTCAGAAGGTCATTGTTTAAATAGTAAGACATTATCTTAGGAGAATTACCACACAAAGTATTGTATTCCCAATAGCAGGATGTTAAGTGAGATTCTAAACAGTTGTCTTGGAATTTCTGCTTGGACCCTAAAGCTAGGAACAAAAGGTACAAAGTGCTCACAACTGTGAAAGGATCCAGGACACCTATGAAGACATTGCCAAGAGGTCATCACAAAATTTGTCTTTCAGTCCCACTATCTAGCTTAAAGGTATGTAAGGGGAAGCAAGGAAACTGATCAGAGAATTCCAGTGGGAAAGAACACTTCTGGACTGACTGGATTGCTGTGCATGACCTTAACTTCTTCCTCCACCTGAAGCCAAATAATAGAGACAGTATACAGGATGCAATGTTGACCTCCAAAACTGGTCGTGTCTTTGCAGAGATTAACACTATGGGACCCACACTATCAAGTGACATGAGAGAACTTTTGGAATAAGTTATGTTTCTGCTTGAGGCAATTCTCAAGGGAAAAATTTCGAATAAATAAGTAACCCTACACAAGTTTTTCTTTGGGTCAAGATCACACATTGTAGGCTGCTGGGCTTCAAAATCCTGAGGACCACACTTGGGAAGGTTTTTTTTTTACTAAGGTAAGGGACATAATCAAACTCTTTACGGAGATGAGCAAAGCAAAAAGATATTGGAGGAATATTTGTGTAGAAATCTTTTATGTGTCCTGAATATCTGAAACAAGCACTGAGCCCTACGAAACAGGGTTTTGTAAAGGAAACAAAAGGCAGTGTAAAATAACCAGAAGCTATTTGAGGGATTTGATAATCTTGCCTAGAGAAAACTCAACCTTTGATGGCTCTCCCCCGGTATGTCTGCCTTGCATTTCCAGGCCTCTTCAATGCTGGGTCTTAACCCCCTGAGCTGCCAGCAGCAACTTATTTGTGCTCTACTGATAAATGATTCAATTTTGAAACTTTAGTATTTTAAATTTCCCCAACTGTTAAAGCCTTTAAGACGACAAGGCATAGTACCAGCTATTGGTATGATATATTCAACAAATGATGCGCTCTTTCACACTTTACATAGCAGTGACAGAAAGAGGACATCCTAATAATCAACATCAGCCAATTCTAGTATCTCAAGGGCCCTGAGAGGACTGTTCATGTAGCACCACCCAAAGGCAAGGCAATTTCTAACTGTCTAAGGGGTTGGAACAAGCTTTATGGTCCATCCCTTCTCTCTGTCTCTAATTAGTATTAATAATAAATATCAAAAGCAGCATTAAGGAGAAAAGTTACCAAATGGTGGCCAGAGAGATGTACGCAGATGGAACAGTTCCATGTCTGTGCAACCTGAGCAGTTGCAAAGGGCCCTGAGCTCAGAAGACACCTATGCTTCTTTTATTTGCTGGTATCATTTTAACATCCTCACAAATATATACACAAATTTTCAATATCAGTTGAAATCTACACCAAGTTAATATTTTATTAAAGCCTTTCTGAGTTAAGAATTCTGAAATTCTTAATAATTTTAGCTTTAAACTTGGGTTTCATAAGTGAAGTCCAATGAGGCAATGAAATATGCACATAAGCAGAAGAGATACATGCAATATGTATATCTGTCCCATTTGCATGTAGCTTTTTCAATGTTCGATGAGCACAGATTTCTGGTAAGCCAACAATAAGTAAGAGTTTAGCAAGACTCCAAAAGAATATGGTGTAAGAGCTTTGTGTCTACAACTAAGTAAATGAGTAAAAGAAGAAACTAACAGTTCTGGGAGATCATGTGGGTTTTTTTGTTTTTGTTTTTGTTTTTTGTTCTGTTTTGTTTTTAAACCAGACCTTGCTTCGAATGTAGAAAGAAGGTAATTCTTTCAAAAAATCATAAACAACCAAGATTAGCCAACCAATTTTTCTGAAATAGATGACACAGAAAGGGAAAAAGATGGCAACCCCTAGTTCTTTCCTATTTAAGTCCTTCCTTACTCATTAGTAAGCCAAAGGTAGGGATTATTGGTTGAATGGGAGCATAACAAGAAGTGAAATAAAAACAGCTGGGTTAGTTATGCAATGCTTCCACATTCTGGTAAGAATGAAATACATATGCATGCATTTTCTACAAGACATAAATTATGCAATGCTGGTGATTCTGCATGAGTTAAATGCTCTTATATTTGCATTTACAACTGGAATTACACAATATAACAATGAACAGTAAAATTCATGCTAATACTTTACAATTTTAATTTTCTTTATTTAGTATGATGTTAAATAGCAAATAAAAAATACCATAGCAAGTTGAGAGAAAGACTGGAATAAATAGCTTTATATTTTAGTAATTTTAACAGCACTTTTCCCCTACTTTTTAAAAAGGGGCTGTGTATTTCACTTTTTACTGAGTCCCACAAATTACATAGCCAGACCTATGTGTAGGCAGAAAAAAGTACATTCTACTCATGGACATTTTACTTCCTCTGGGTTACAAGTGAGATGGGAAATGTGTTATGTGCAGTAGAATGTGGCTGTTCAATCCAGGGGCTTCAGGGGCATACCTCTGGTGTCTGAATCTTGACTCTGACCCGACATCTTGTGACTTTAGCAAAGTTACTTAGCCCTACAAAAAACCTTAGTTTCCTCATGTGTAAAGTGGGAATAATAATAATTCCCTTATAAGATCATAGTAAGAATTAAAGGAGAGTGTAGAAAGTACTTGACAGAATGTCTGACCTTGTGTAAGAACTCAATAAAGCCTGTTATAGCTATAATTATTATTAGATTCCTGTATACATATAAATCGATTGGAAACATAAATTGCCTCTATATTACCTTCTTAAGTCACTCTCTAAATTTCAGGAGTCAGACAATTACTGAAGGAAAAAAAAATGAACCAAAAAACTTATAAAAGAAAGCATCAATTATTTGTCAACACTTATTGAAATTTGCCCCACCACTGAACTTCTATTTAAAAGTTCTTAAATATCATTAACAATCTTGAATTCAAGTAATTTTCTCCAAATGATAAATTGTAAATAGCACTAGGACTCAAGTAACACACCAGTGTATTTTACGATTGTACAGTTAAAATCAAAACATTAAACAGTTTACGCTTCACTAAAATTTATACAGACGTAAATTTTTGAAGAAAAATGTTAAAGGCATATCTCAAGGACATGATGTCTAGTATTCACAAATTCTATATCTGAATTTTTTTTCTGAGGATGTTCATAATTAAAAAAAATTCAAAGACAGCTAAATTCAAATATGAATAAACTATGTAAATTATATGAATTGTTATTTATACCCATCATTTCAATTATACATATATTCAGTTTTATATGTATATATAATTAGGATAAAAATTGTCATCTAAGTTGTAATTCTTTCTTTGGACCATTATTTTTCAAATGGTAAATCATGATCCATCAGTAATTCATAAAATAATTTTAGTGGGCTATGATTGAGAATATTTTAAAATTAAACAGAATAAAAAATGCCAGCCTGTGTCACTTATATTAAGGATTAGTGTTGTCTTATGAACTTTTGTTTCAGCTACATATATGCATATGTGTGTTCTGAGATGAGATTAAAATCTTATTTTCCTGCAGTTTATGAAACAAAGTTGGAAGTGGTTTTAGAATTTCAGACTAGGTAAACTCATGAAAGAAGAATTTTTCCTAAATTCAATATTTGTACATTTTCAAGGAAACCCTTGGGATAAAACACTCTTTTAAAATAAAAGTATTTTAAATAGATAATTTGGAAATAAAGACAGAGAGTTATGCTTTCAGTTTCAGTGTCCCAAATTCATTTTCATCATCACAGAACTTCATATTACACCTAAGCTTGCAGCCAGTTAATTCATGTTATGGCATCAAAATAAATTTTCTAGGAAAATTGGTTTTTGCAATTTACAGAAGATCTGACAGACACTAGCTATTTCATGAATGTAGATGCCAGTATGATCAACTGGAACTAATTTTTTCCTATGCTTCAGTCTTATTTTAATTTTTGTCTTCATAACATTAGTATACATTTCTCTGCAGTACACTGAGCAAATAATGATGATGCGAGGCATAACAATGAATGGATGGAACAATTCTGGTTGTTTTCAAAATCGAGAACACTCAAATGTGTTCAACATTATCTACATTCTTCAGAGGCTTAATTATGGCCCTTTAGTGTGAGGAAGTATTGAATAGCATCACCTATGTTCCTTGAAGACATCACTCATGCATAAAGGTGGAGTAGAAAGGGGGAAAGTGAAATAATGAGAAAAGATAAGCAATTATTTGTTTTAGTCCTGGAACATCCAGTAAAAATATCTGGAAACTCACTTCTGGATACAATTTCTAATCATAGAAATCTCTAGTAG